GATTTAAAATGTAAAACATGCTCACCAAAAAGCGTTCAAACGGAACAGAAATATGTAAAGTTAAATTCAGGAGTTTTCCCATAATCCCCTATTATTAAACAAGAAAAATAATAGTACTGACTTTCCAGGTTACCGTCAGACACGAGGTTGTCAAGTGTGCCTGGGTGTAACATTTAGAAGACTCTGTTTCAGGGTTAGCTGTGTGATTTTCAGATATCACTTACTGATATCCTCTTAGTAAAGTGCTGGTTCATCTTCTGCCCATTTTTCTTTTGGATTGTAGGCCTTTTTCTGATTTATTTTTAGAGGTTTATTTCTTATTCTGGATGAGAGTCTTTCGCCAGACCTCATATCTCGCTGACTCAGGAAAAACCCCAGTTTATTATCCTGTAAAACTAGGAGAAAAAAATATGGTTGGTATAAAGATTAAACTAGACAAAAGAAATCATCCTTGTTGTAAGCTGTGGAGTGCTGCACAAATACGAATTTATATTATCCAGTGATTTTCTCTGCAAACAAGACCTTACACATGGTCAGATCTGTTTTGTGTGTTTGTTTTTCTCACCATCTACACAAAAGCAAAGCGATGGGAACATTGAATGACACTGCCTGGTAACCTCCAAGAGAATAATTGCCATAGACCTGCAGGACAGCACTTCTGCATCATCACAGCAGTTAGCTCTAAACTGCATATGCAGTGATTCAGAGAGGTTGATTTTAAAGATCATGCTCACTTAAATGAAAGTTTCTCTTAACTGCAGGGCTCAGATTTAAAAAAAAAAGGAGCATTGAGGAGTTGGGCCAGTTAACTTTGGGGGCCCTGCCACACTGGCCTGCTGGGGTTGCATGGTGGGCTGTGGATCCTGGCTCTCCTGGCTTAATCCCAGAGGCAGAAAGAAGTGTAAGCCCTATGTGAGAGTTGTGTGTGCCACTGTCACTGAGCGACATTGCATGGATTGCAGGGGCTGCCCCTTGTTCCTGCTGCTGTAGAAGGTGGTGAGGGCAGCTGTTATAATCCCCATTTCACAGGTGAGAACATTGAAACACCAAGAAACTGAGTGCCTGCTGACTGGGAAGCTGTGGTGGGAGCCCCAAGGGTCTTTTGCCTGCATGGACTCTGCTCCTCCCCGGTGCCCTCCTGCCCAGTGGGGGCAGGGGTAGCCTGGGGGCAGCCTGAGGATATGCCATTACTGAGGCCATTGGTCCTGTGGTCTCAACATTTGTGTCCCCCCAACATTCACATGTTGAAATCCTGATCTCCAACACTGATGGCATTAGGAGGTGATTAGGTCATGAGGGTGGGGCCTCATGAACTGGATTTGCGCCTCTATAAATGGGGCCCCAGAGAGCTCCCTCTCAAGAAGAGGGATGTCTGTGAACCAGGAAGCAGGCCTCACCAGACAGAAGAATTCAACACATTAATCCTGGACTTCCAGCTTCCACGACTGTGAAAAATAAATTTCTGTTTATGAGCCACACAGTCTATGGCGTTTTCTTATGAGCCTCTAAATGGACACAGGGTCTGTGCTACCGGTTAATGACCACCCTGGGGTGCCTGTGGAATGCTGTCCTTAAGGAGGGTGCACCTGGTTATTTATTCAGAGGCTATTGGTTCAGGCCTTGGAAATTGCACCCTTTCTCTCACAGAAATCCCCTCACCTGGCAGTGTGGTTCCAGCTTGGAAGAGAAGTGACTGTTGAAGGCAGGTTCGCTGGCTGATTCTTGGTTTTAAACAAGCTCAGATGATGCCTGAGAGGCTAGGGTTAGGGTTAGGGTTAGGGTTATTTAGGAAGGTATTTAGGTCTTGGGGTAAGAAATTGGATTTTGTCCATAGGTGGAGTCAGGGCAATGGGAATGGAGCCCTGCGTGCCTACCATGAATGTCCTGTCTGAGGCCAGAGGGACACATCATCTGAGGGCTTTGCAAACTCATAGGCTTGGTTGCCGTGCCCAGGTCTCCCAGTTCACTTGCTGTTTGTGCCTTGATGTGAAGCCCTGAGGTGCAGGTGGTGCTCAGAGATAGAGCCATACCTCAAGACCTCAGTGCAGAAGGCTTCTGAGGAGGCAGAGGATGGAGCTCCTGAGAGATTAGGGACGGAGAAGGGAGTGGGGAGAATGGGAGGAGGAGAGGCAGGTTCTGGGCCGGCTTTTGCAGCATCCCCAAGGGAGGAGTGGTGGTTTTCTTGTCAGCTGGCCAGTGTCTTGCAGGATAGGAGGTGGCCCCATGGTCCATCACTTCCAGGTTCCCATAAAACCTCTCTGAGGCATAAGGAGGTGGTGGTTGGCCAGGAACCACTTTGCAGATGAGGAAACTGAGGCCTAGAGATGCTGTACCTCACTGGTGGTCACAGGCCAGAGGTCCTGGAGTCAGTATTGCCTGGACAGGGCCTTGGGAAGCAGAGCTATAGTGGGGGTGCACATGGTAGACATGGTATTGTGGTATTGTAAGTTCAGAAAGTATAAAAGCGAAGGCTGGGCTTCAGGACCCACCCCTGCCACTCTGGATGCAGTCCCCATCATCCTCTGTGAAAAGGCCATGTTTCTTTCCTGTGTGACCCTTGCTATTGTTTGCAGTCATAGGTGTGTCATTATTGTATTGTGTGACCCCCCCACCATGCATACTCCACAAGCACAGCAACAATGTTCAGTCCCTGGAGCACATACAAGGCATCACCAGGAAATTCTCCATAAATATTTGTTGAATGAATGGAGGAATGAAAACTCGTCTGGACAATGGCCTGTAGAAAGGGCCGGTGCACTGCAGTGAGGACTCAGACTCGGTAGTTTGTGTTGTGCAGCTGGAGGGTGATCCGATCATATTGTGATCATAAGCTCAGTCTGAAGATGAGTGGGGAAGCTGTGCATATGTGTGTAAGTGTGAGTATGTGTGTGTGGGTGTGTGTGTAAGGGCTATAGGCTACACACTGAGGGAGGGAAAGCGGTCAGGAGCTTTGTCACTGCAGACAGAGAGCTGAGAGGCTGGGGAGGGGCAGGGAGGAAGGAGATCCCATCCGTTCTGGGAACGCAGATGGCAGCCCCTCTCCCTCTGGAGTCTCCGTGGAGGGTTTCCTGAGGTGGCAGCTCTGCATTCTCAGATGGTGGCTGGCTGCTTCTTGTTGATTACAGTTTGAAATGCCGTACTTGGTCCCAAGCTGCTGCACACCACAGAAGTTCAGTGTCCCTCTAATGAGGTTTCTGTGAGAATGTTGGAGAGAAGAAAGCCTTTTAATTAGATTGGTGGTAATTGAGCTCTCAAAGCACAGAAGCCTTTCCCTCAGAAGATGAAGACACAAATGCAGTTAAAAGACAGAAAGGCACCTAAATGGAACCCTTGCTAATTTTAAGTCCATTAAAAACAACAACTCCTTAATAAGTTGAGGCAACAGATACACATCCTCAAATGTTTAACAGCACTTCCCAGTAACTTTGCAGTTTGAACTGGAACTGAAGTACTTCTGCAGTTTAAATGCATGGCTCTGTTGGGGGTCATTTGCCCAGTACAGAGTCCAGGGAAATGTTTAGCTCTACAACTTTTTCCATTGAAAAATCCCAGCATGTTTTATTTGGAAAATGGGGTGTATTTTTTCTTACAACTGAAGCGGCAGCTGTTTCTGGATGTAGCCACTGGCCTTGGGCCCCTGGGAACATCATCTTCCGTCCCTCCCCAGGTAGCCGATTCTGCTGTGTCCTGGCCCCAACTGACAGATCTAACCCCCAAAGATGTCCAGCGTGTGGGCAGCTAGGACAGGGCATTGAAGCATCAAAGTGTCCCTGCCAATTCTTCGTGTGTTCAGTGCACTTTTACTTTGGTAAGAGGCAGCATTCATTTCTCATTTGCTTGCAGCCCACTGACCTTGGCCCAGCAGACACCATGTTCTTTCTGCCTGTGGGTCTTTATAGACTTCCCATCAGCAAACTAGGCCAAGGGTCTCAAGGTCCCAGCTTCCAGGGAACTCTTCATGGAGGCATTAGTAGTTTCCCTGGAGAGGGTGTCAACTGCTAATTTACAGAGTCCTTTAGGATGGAATAGCGTGTTAAATACTGAGCAACAACATTCTCAGTCTGTCTTTTGCACAGATCTTGCTCCTTGGTCTCTTTCGTGGTGTTTTTTGCTGGGTCATATTGGGCTTGGCCAGCCATGAGGAGATGCTAGTGGTATCCCACTTGGAAAAGCTGATATGACTAGACTCTCTTTAGATGTCTTGTGCCCAAGCACAGTCACAGTGGATAATGCTGTCTTCAGCTCCCTGGTGAGCACGAGGATCTGCTGGATCCTGAACTCCAGGTGATTTGGAAATTTGGAGAAACGGTTTCTGGAGTCAGAAAGATCCAATTGGAAAGGCTCCTTGGTAAAGTCTCCTCATCTTCCTGACTCCTGTTTACTCAGCTGGATAGGATTGACCTTCAGGTTTATGTCAGGAGCCCTGATATGTTGCCTGGTGGCTAAAGGATGGTAGAAAAGACAGCTCAGATCTGCTGGGACAGGGTTGGACCACTGTCCATGCAGCACCAGCACAGGGCCAGGCAGCTCTGTGCAGGGACACAGCCCCTTTCCTGTATGGGAAGGAGGCACAAAGCATTTGTACTTGTTTAAAAGTGTATGCATTCTGGTAGTAAAACTGACTTTGAAAAATTAGAGTTTGCACCCAATTTTATGCTCTTGTAACATATATAAATTATAAAGAAAACAAAGATAAATAGCCAAATCATTAGCAAGCATCACTTCTGGATAGCAGTGTTTCAAGGTTTCAATTTTTTTCTTTATACTTTTCCGTCTTTTGTAAGTGCTCTGTAATAAATGTGTCTCACCTCAGAATAAACAGAAAAGCTTAACTCTGGGGAAATGCTGATTGCATATATTGGAAGTGCTTGGTGCATTCTAATTCCACACAAACAATGATCGGATCCCAACAGCCAGATCCCCACGTGAATAATTGTCTCGTTCTTTCTTTTGTAAACCTATCAATCATATTTATGCTGCTTTTTTTTTTTTCTGTTAAGGATGAGAAGAACCAAGTTCTAACCACCAACATTTGGCTGCAGATGGTAAGTGAAGGCAGCAGGAGTCCCGGATTTGCAGGGAAAACAGAGGTGTGGTGAGAAGAGCCAGGGCTGTGACCCTGACTCCCCACCCGCCAACAGTGAATGCTGGGTGCATTGCCCTGCAGTCTGCAGAGTTCAGTGCCAGGGCTGACCCTGACTCCCCACTAGCCAACAGCGAATGCTGGGTGCATTGCCCTGCAGTCTGCAGAGCTCAGTGCATGCTTGTGTCTACGAGGGTGATTTGGGGACATTTCAGAAGCACTGTGCAGTATGAGAAGAGGCAGGGCTGCATTTAGATGTACCATAGCCCCAACCTGAACCGTAGCCAGTGCCCGTAGCCCGGGGGCTCCTGCCTTGTTCCCTGTACCCTCCGCAGCTGCATGTTTGAATCACTTGCCGCACTCTTTAGCTAGAGGTCGTCACACTTTGTACTCAAGTGATGTCTGCCAGAACCCTGAAATTTTGTATGTTTCAGTTTTGGATTTCTACCCTGACATCTAGAATTGTAACTTAAACTTAATTGCCAGTGATGTCACTTTCATCGAATTGTAAATATCTACATTTAAAAAAAAATTACATTGTTCTAGCACTCAGGCAGGCTAAGGAGGGTGGATTGCTTGAGCTCTGGAGATCAAGACCACCCTGAGTAAGAGCGAGACCCTGTCTCTACTAAAAATAGAAAAACTAGCTGGGATATGGCTGGCACCTATAGTCCCAGCTACTCAGGAGGCTGAGGCAAGAAGATTGCTTGAGCCCAAATGTTGTGATGTTGTGAGGCTGCTGTGAGTTATGATGCAACAGCACTTTACCCAGGGTGACACAGTGAGACTCTGTCTCAAAAAAAAATAATAATAATAAAAATAAAAAAAATCAGAGTGGCGCCTGTGGCTCGAAGGAGTGAGTTATGATGCAACAGCACTTTACCCAGGGTGACACAGTGAGACTCTGTCTCAAAAAAAAAAAATAATAATAATAAAAATAAAAAAAATCAGAGTGGCGCCTGTGGCTCGTAGGAGTAAGGCACCCCATATGCCAGAGGTAGTGGGTTCAAACCCAGATCCAGCAAAAAACTGTAAAAAAAAAAAAAAAAAAAAAATAATAATAATAAAAATAAAAAAAATCAGAGTGGCGCCTGTGGCTCGAAGGAGTAAGGCACCCCATATGCCAGAGGTAGTGGGTTCAAACCCAGATCCAGCAAAAAACTGTAAAAAAAAAAAAAAAAACAAAAAAAAACTACAAGGCATAACAAAAAAAAAGAATCAAATTGTTTCTATTTTTGGTGAAATCTAAATACTATACTAATTTGATGTCCTAAACATTTAATACCATATGAACAAGCCCTTTTTAAAAATGTGAAATATTTTACAGAATCCTTTTTACTTTGTACCTGCATTTCTGTTCTACTTTGCATACAAAACCTTATCCTAATGTAATATAATTTTATGTTTGAAGGTCTTTCATTAATCACATTGTCTTGGTTTTCTCAAATTTAAATATTTACATAAAAATTATTCCTTTGGACCATAAATATTAAAAATGTCTTCTGGATTGATTTCATATTGCTATTAGTATTGGTACATCATTCATCAAAGTGGCATAAATTACACTTTTTAATAAATAGTAAACAATTTTTTTACTGGAAATTCATGTCTTTGCCAAAGGTGAGATTTTGTTTTAAATTAATTTATGTATCCACAGATAATTGTTCTGTGTTACTAGACATGAGAGAATGATAGAGCTTTCATCGTTAATTCTGTACATGTGTTTTTAATCGGTGTAGTAGCACAGGTAATGGGTGAGCAAAGGGATTTCACTAAAGCAGTGCTATTCAATTCTTTAAACTTCCAGATCACATGGCAAAAAAATGTAGTTTTCATCAACTGCGTCAGCTAACAACTTCATTAGCTTTTCTTTCAATTTTTTTTTTTTTTTTGAGACAGTGTCTCACTTTGTTGTCCAGGCCAGAGTGCCATGGCATCACCCTAGCTCACTGTAACCTCAAATTCCTGGGCTCATGTGAGCCTCCTGCCTCAGCCTCCTAAGTAGCTGGGACTACAGGTGGCTGCCACAATACCCAGCAAGTTTTTATAGGTAGGGTCTCACTCTTGGTCAGGCTGGTCTCGAACTCCAGAGTTCAAGTGATCTCCCCACCTCAGCCTCCCAGGGTGTTATGATTACAGGCATGAGCCACCTGGAGTCTGGGCTTCAATTTTGTTGAAATAAAAAAATTTAAAGAATTAAAATGCAGCTGACCTTTAAAATATTAGCCACCCAATTTGTAAAGGGATTTACACAGACACTGACAATTTGAATAGACCCTCTGTTTGCTTCTTGGGCAGGACCCCAAGATAAGACAAATGCGGCTTCTTTGTAAAGTGGGATGGGAGGAGTAGAAGTGGGGGGCAAAGGATATTCCCAGGGGGTCGATTCTTGAGCAGGTGAATTTTCCTGCGAATATGTGTGGAGCCCAGGGATGGAACACAGATCTGCTTAAAGCCCTGCTGACCATCCCAGGGGCATCCTTAGCAGCAGGTGAGATCCTCTGTAGAACCTACCTGTAATGAGGAAGGTGGAAGCCTCGGGAGTTTCCTCTGCAGGATTTAAAGCTCATGGTTCAGTGAGCACAGGCCTTCTCCAGGCCTGCCACCTACTCCAGCTTCCCTTCTTTACCTCAGAGTGACAATCGGTGCTTCCCTGGAAGGCCAGCCTCCCTCCCTTGCAGAGGACAGGCCAGATCCTGGGACCTGCTGTGAGCCTCCCTTTAACAATTGTGCCTGTGGCCTCTCGCATCAGATAGTGTCTGTCACATTGAATAGTGTCTGAATAGTGTCTGAACAGTCTTGCCCTTCCCATAGTCTTTTTCCTCTGGATAAATAGTAACATTATATATCCCTGTGCTTCCACTAAAACCCCCAAGAGTTACCCTACCTCTTGCCTTTTGCCCCTCACATCTGATACATCAGCAGATTCTGGCTGCTTGATCTTGAGAGCAGATCCAGGGTCTGACCACTGGCATCAGCTTCAGTGGCTCCACCCTGCTCTAAGCCAGCGTGGTCTTTGCCCCCTTCCCTTGTTACAGGCTCCTGCCCAGGCTTCCTGCTCCCGCCCTTCCCTCCGGGTGGTGCCCCTTCTTAGCACTGCAACCAGTGTGGTCCTAGTGAGATGGAGGGAGGGTTTAGTCACGTGCCTCGCTGGCGCATGTTGGGGGGAGGTCCTATCTCCTTGGCAACATGGGAGCAGAGGTCCTAGAAGTGGCCTTCGGTTCCCACCCTGCCGGGGCCACCTCGCTCTCCCATCCTGTCTCCTCCTCGCTGTGCTCGCAGCCCGCCCTCTTGGTGCTGGGCGAGGCACGTGTCCCCTGAGCACCTCAGGGCCTCTTGCTGCTTCCCCGCCCCGAAAGGCTCTTTCCCCAAGAACTGCTTGATGTACCCCCTGTCTTCTTACTCTCTGTTCCTGAAGATCAGCTTCTCCAGGAGGCCTTCCTTGAGCTCTTGCTGACTGTCCCAAGCCCTCCCCCCTCCCACTGGCCAGCTGTATTTTTCTCCCAAACATCTTTCTCCACCTGACCTCTTTCATGCTCTCTGGTCTGTCTGTTCTTGGGCTCTGAGATCTTGTCCCCTGCTGGAATGTGGCATGAGGAGGAGGGCAGTGCTGCGGTGGGTGTGCTCGCGGGTGGGCCCCTAGCTGCTAGCCTACTGTCTCCCCTGTAGCAGGCCCTGAACTTCTGTTGAATGAAAGAATGAAACAAAAACTCTAATTAAATCTAGGAGGGGCTCAGGTCATACGACACCAAGTAAAGTCACCTCCTGAACAGTGGGACACTGTGGTACTGGGTAAGGTGAAGCTCTGGGAAATCCAGGGCTGGTGCCGATATTTCCCTTTTTACTGAGATCTCGGTGCTTCCCTGCTCTCTAAGGATCATGGCCACCCTTGATATTTTTCTTGCACGTGTGATGACAGAATCCTCTCCCTGGTGCCTGCCTCCTTAGCCCTGGGAAAGCAGCTGGTCTTCAGCAATGCATATGATTTGGCAATTTATTTTTTCTAAAGTGTTTGTTTCCAAGAAAAATGTAACTGGATTATTACCTTTGTATTGAGTTCAGATGCTCCTGGATAAACATCCTTCTTTTGGTAGATGTTACTAGAGCCCTCTAAATTGCTTTCAAATCCTGCTTCTTTCTTTTTTCTCTCCCACCCCCTTTTTTTTGAGACAGAGTCTCACTCTGTCACCTTTGGTAGAGTGCCATGGAAGTCATCATAGCTCACAGCATCCTTGGACTCTTGGGCTGAAGCCATCCTCTTGCCTCA